GAGAGAGAGAGAGAGAGAGAGAGAGAGAGAGAGAGAGAGAGAGAGAGAGAGAGAGAGAGAGAGAGAGAGAGAGAGAGAGAGAGAGATGAAGAACTCACTGGACAGATTTTGAAGCGGAGGGGCCAAATCTCCCTGTCGAACTGCCTCTCCAAAATGTTGTCCCACAAGTGCAACTAAGTCTATTTTGAGCTTCTGACACAATTTCACAATCTTGGAGTGGTAATCGATTGCTTCTGAACCTAGCTCTGAACACAGGAGCAGAGGCAGAGGTACAGAACAAAGGTCGAGTGAGCCAAAGAGGAAAGGTGATAGCAAGACGTGCAGAGGGAGCAAAGACGTGGAGAAAGAGGGTGATTGACAAACATAGACAAAACAAGCAACAGATAAGAAGTTGGTGCACAAGTTAGATATGCGATAGTAAATAGGTAATAGTGACTATAGTCTGTATAGATATTAGATAGACAAAGACTAGCGCCAGAGCAATAACCCGTTCTAGCCACCTGCAACAAAACTCAGGCCTCCCTGTGGGGAAGAGCCCTGATCATCAACACAACAGCATTCTCCACTTTGTGGTACATGGCCTCCATATGGTCCCCTCCCGACGACGATTTGAAGAAGCTGAAGGCTAAAGCCGGGTGTTACCTGTGGACCGACGACCCCTGAAGAACCACCTGCATAAACAAGGTCGCCTGACAAATTGTCATCAGGAAACCACACAAAGGAGGCTAGGCATAATTGACCCTAAACAGGAAGCGATCGTCCTCCAAATGAAATGGATAATCAAAATTCTAACCAAACAAGCCCTCCCGTGGACCAAGATGGCGGTAGACAGCGTAAGGAACCTGGCACCAGTAGCGTCCTCACCGAACATGAGTGGCCTGTTCTGGATCATGGCTAAGGAATGGGCAATCAAAACGGGGAGACCTGCAAGGAGAAGTAACCCCGCGACCCCCAATCCGCCGCCCACCACACCCATCCCCTACTGGCCACCGGTCCTGAAGGCCTGGAGCCAACTGATGCCAGAAAAGAAAGGGTCTCCGAGCAACAAAGAGGAAGTCCTAAGACAACCCCTGTTCTGCAATCCCTGGATTAAAGACTCAGAGGGCAGACCTTGGACCCTCCGGCCCAAGGACCGCAGATGGTTGTCTTGGGTGGAGCGAGAAGCTCGCAGGTCAAACGTCTGTGGTCCGAAGACCGAAAAGAATGACTAACCGAACGGGACCTCCGCACATCATTAAAAGGTTGCCACATACTAACCACCAACCTGCCAGAAATCCTTCAAAGCATTCCTTCCCCATGGACGACCCTCCTAGTCATCACGCAGACCCCACCAACAAGAGCCTACCATTTCGTGTCCAAACTGGACCCAACCAACTACCAGGCCAAGTTCATATCCTACCCCATCATCAAACACAACACTTACGAATTAGAGGTCCTAAATAAAACACCACAGAATGAATAAGTAGGAACCTACCTCCTTAGGAAGGTTAAGAGTATCTCACAGGAAACCCTGGATTATCTTCCAGCCGGAACTCAACATCAAGGAGCTGGAATTCGACCCAAAAGAATGGATATGGGATCTGGGCGCCACAGGGAAATTAAAGACGATAACGGAATACGACGTAAAGTTCGGGTATAGCCTCAGACTACAGACCAGGGACCCGCATCCAAGGCTGTCGGAGAAATGGAGAACTATGCTAAACCTAGGTGCCACGATCCCCATCACCATTCCATGGACCAAATACCTTCTCATCAGACCAATCAGAATCCACAGTATGCAACGACTAATAGCACATGCAGCCCTTCCCGTCAACCAATGGCTACACGTGAGAACACTGAGAGGGAAACATTCCGACCCTGATAGCTCGAAATGCTGCTCAATGTGCAGCAACAACTCACCCGAAGACATCCCCCACTGCCTCCTCTTCTGCCCAGAAGCGACATGGATATGGAAGAAGGTTCGAGAGCTGTGGTCGATCCTGTTTGCCCGCCCCCCCCCTAACATCCCGCCTCTCTCTATCCTACTCCTAACTAACATCCCCAACAACATCACGGGCAGCAGGGAAAATGGTTCACCCTGCTCAGGAAGCTGGCACTGTGGGTGATATGGAAACACAGATGTACCCAGACAATCGAGGGAGCAGAGGTGGCAAGGGAAGAAATGTGGTCATTACTGCTGAGCATGGCAGAGACGGAAATCAGCAGCAGATGGCGGAGAATAGTGAACTCAATGAGACTCAGACCAGACGGACAAACAACCAAGAAACAGACTTTCATGAGGAGCTGGCTGCTAAAGGGCAAGGTGGCGACGATAGTTGACAACAACAGGTTGAGATGGAAGAAATGGCACCAGGCACAGTCAAGAAGACTATAAGGTTTCCTGCCGTGCAACTTCGCAGAAGGGTCAGAACGGTGGTCAACAACAAAGCTAACTGGACACACAGTGAAGGACAAGGACAAGCAACAGAACACGGAGCAGACCGCCCCACTTTTCTCGTATTTCAGGGACTCATTCAACGGGCTCCGATTAGAAGCCTGAGAGGAACATGTGGTTAAGGCAAAGCTGACAGTCAATCCTCACTAGAAGGAGTACTCAATGCCTGTCTCTTATACACATCTAGATGTGTATAAGAGACAGGACAAGCAACAGAACACGGAGCAGACCGCCCCACTTTTCTCGTATTTCAGGGACTCATTCAACGGGCTCCGATTAGAAGCCTGAGAGGAACATGTGGTTAAGGCAAAGCTGACAGTCAATCCTCACTAGAAGGAGTACTCAATGCTGGTCAGGGTTACTTCGGCCAGACGGAAGGAAGCGTTGAGTGGGTAATACGATGTATTCTTTCCGCATTGCCGGGGGAATAGGAACCAGATTGACGCTCCCCAGAACGGATATGGAGCCAGGACCATAAGGACCTGTTAAAAAAAAAAAACAAAAAAAAAAAGGTGTCCGCATTCCCTCAACATTCTTTTTCTCTGCTTCCTATCTATTCTGACAATCGTCATATCTCCCACTTATCATTCCATACGCCACCCGGTTTATAACCCACCTGTACATATGCTTTCGCTTTCAGCTGCGTTATTTAGCTTAGTAAGAGAAATTCTTACCATCAGTCGAAAACTGTATAGGTAAGTGATTGTACTTAACCCTTTAGTTCGAGCGACAGATCCTAATATGCGGTGCATGTTTTTTCAACTTTTTTGCCTACCCTCCGCTTCATTCTTCTTCCAAGTTCCAACGGTTATCTTTTTTTTTTTTTCAACCCAGTTTTCTTGCAAGGGGGGAATCGTGCGCGGGATGATATGAGCACTCGCCCCTTGCAGGTCTGGGATGCTCCAGTCTATTGGTGAGGGAGCTTCACCCGCTGGAAATCGGGTCCATCGTCTGCCCGTATCTAGGTACGGAGTCAGACAATTGATTAGCGTGCAACTCAGCCTCCTTCCAAGCTCTCAGTCGTTTTTTGGACCCGCCCATATAGGAATTAGTGCATATCGCCTGCTCAGTCAATCCCCTGGTTTCAGGGAAATCAATGCTGGCAGGACATCAGTGTGTTCAGATGCTGAATTGTTCACAGGGACGCTGGACCTGTTTTGCAGCAGGTGCTGCTCCCCACCAATAGATTGGAGCAACCAGGCAATCTGCTCGGAGGGGGTGCTCTTATCACCTCTTCTAGCGGAGGGACCAGTTTTCCAAAAAGAAAAAAGAAAAAAAAAGGAGTTATTACATATCTATGCCAGCCAAACTTAGCCAGCCAGCTACATATATAGGTTTCTCTGTGTGTGTGCGTATCTTCATCTCCATTTCCTTGGTTGGCACTGCATCTGGAAAGCCCCTGTCAGCCAGTGTCAGGGTACCAGTGGGACATGGACTTCCATCTGGGAGTGCGGTTATGGCGGAATGCGGTGGGAGAAGAACAGTAGTAGTGGCGTTGCCCCCGAACATTCTTGTAGAGAGAGAGAGAGAGAGAGAGAGAGAGAGAGAGAGAGAGAGAGAGAGAGAGAGAGAGAGAGAGAGAGAGAGAGAGAGAGAGAGAGAGA